TATATATCAGCTACTTACATCAACCCTGATAATGGAGACAGAGAGGCCTCCGAAACGATTATCGGTGGGACAAGATTTTACTGCATGCATTCACCATGACAGTCTCAGAATACACTAATTAATATATAGGTAATGGTAAAATTGTTCCTGTAATTAACTAAGCACCAAGCCATGAAGGAATATGCGGGAATGGAGGTATAGCTCTATCATTCTTGACGTCGACACTGCATTCATCCCCGGGGGAAAGAGCCCCCGGTATCCATTACATAGGATACTGGGTGTGCCACAGAGAGGGTCCAAACGTTATGGAATAGAGAAAAATATCCGGGAATCGAGCCACGGCCATCCAGCCGGTAGCTATCCCGCCTCTTGATTAACTCATTTATGGCTTGCTTAATGACGCTGTCAGTAGCTTAGAGTAAAAGGAACAGTGAGATCTCATGCGATAAAACACCCCCCCTTTCGGAGGAACATGTCGCCTCCATCTTCAAGGTTGAAGAGTAAATCAAACAGAGCTTTGCTTGATACCGGCTTTCATGCTCCTTGCTTGCCTTATTCCTCGACCCTGAATATGGAGTTAACATATTTCTCCGAAACATCGGTTGACTTTCAACAGACCACGACATTATAGCCCAGAAGGTACAACACTTCATAACCAGCGGTGTGAGAAGCTCTGATCCTGCAGAGACTCTATGGCTTCTAATATTATGACTAGTGATTAATGGAGATGTGGCCTACTTAGCGTACACCTACTATCACGGTGTTTGCCTAAAGTGAATAAAGAAAACAACAAAAAGCTCTGTTCGGATAGGAAATGCCTCGGGCCGAGCCTCGAACCGGGCACCCCATGAATACAAGTATAAAGCGTTGGAGCCTGTCCCAACTCGCTGGAATTCTTAAATGTCATTAAACACTTTGAAGCATAAGTTCATCTGAACAGAATTAACGGGATCAAGTTCCTAACTCACGGCAAACACATTCGGCCTCGAACCGGTCATATTCAACGAAATAATCGCTCTCAAAGTGTGTATACTGTTGTGTCTTAATGTACTTTTCAAATGGAGCAGTCAACACGATAATAATTCAATAATCGCTCTCAAAGTGTGTATACTGTTGTGTCTTAATGTACTTTTCAAATGGAGCAGTCAACACGATAATAATTCAATAAGACAAAATAGACACACACATCCAATGATACGACCCACGCAGCCACAAGAGTAGAACAAATCATAAGACACAATATACACACAACATTAGAAACATAAGAACAACAACCCCCATGTGGATGATTAATAATACACACGAATTTTAAAAATATAACACATGAGATAATAGGTTTCAACAAGTTTTAAACACATAAACTTTATTATTATATAAGGACGTATACAAATTTAATATTATTTGTAAATGGACATATAAAGGCAAGCAGTGAAATGGTTAACAGATCGATACGCCTAAAGATGGCAGCATACTGCCGAAACATGTAGTGTAGAAGTGATAGATGGGATTGTATGCAATTGGAGACTGTTTATATATACACATTATGAATATGAATCAGTGCAACAGGATGCTAAAGTACAACAAAGACAAAATAGATAATATCGTATCAAAATTTATTTGTGCAGTTCTTATTGCGACATGTATACACCTGGCCTTTCGTCAAGTGTATATTTCGCACATATAACATATTACAGAAAATTCTTCCTTTTGCACTACATACAAGTCCTCTTTCAGTACAGGCTTTACAGAGCAGATCACACCTAACTTACATATCTTAAGCTACAACGGCAGTTTAGTCATTTGAATGGTTGTAAGCTTGACCACTGCCAAGTTTAAGCCTCTTATATTTTCTGTCTGGCTTCACCTTGTCCTATACTGCGAACATGTACATTCTCATGATTTTGCATGACTTCTGCTTGTCACCTGCACAGTTTTGTTATATAATTGAAGACATACGGATAGTCGATAGCTGGGTGCAAGTTGCAGACTGGTGTGTGCCTTGGAAAATTTCCAATGGTTCGCAAAACATGTATTATGCGCTGTGACAGACCAGAATGAAACAAATCAAATGGCTGGAGACGTTCCATCAGCTTCCTGTCATTTTCTCAACAAGATCTGTGCTATCTGACAACAGTAAGATGTTGCTTGAGAGTGTGATGCCATGCAGCTCGGTATGTAGGCACTAACATTTCGGAGTAGCCTGCTAATTTGGGTTAACCCTGAAGACTGTCATGGTTCACTTCCAGATGTGTTCATGTGGGATTTATGGTGAATAAAGAGACAATTGTGCAGATGATCTCCAAAGTATTTTACTTTCCCCTGCCAATTATCATTCCATCAAATGCTCAATATCTCTTAGCAGTCAACTGGGGCCGGTACAATGGGCCAGACCAAGGGTCTGTCTCACCCCAACCCCTGCATATGGAGGCAGCAGGTTTCTCTGTATTCTTGGTACCTATCTACCAGATGATACAACATTATGCCCTGGAATACCATAATTTTAGTGAGAACCCGATATTACAGAACACTGGTCCTTCATCTCCATGTACACATATGAACCAGATCTTAATCTTGCAAGAGCACTTTATTACCTACACAAAACCAGAAACAACTTAATAAAACACAAACTCACAGAAGATATTTAAAAATCAATTTAACAAACAAATTACTGTACTTTAATGCAACACAATTATGTCCTCGGCGTATGGCATCATTATAAGTATGTAACATAAAAAGGGGACTTGCAGTCTCAGAGTACAACAATGACTCTCATTCTAAAGATTATGGGTTTGATGTCTGAACAGATCTGTGTTCAGATTTTGTCGCTTACAGATGACATGAGACTAAAAGACAAAACTTTGGGAATGTGAAAGACATGAGGCCTCCCATCTGTTGACTGAAGTACACATTACAGTACAGATCCTCCCTGCCTCCATCTTCAATGAATACCCCATCATAGAGGGATACCAAACGTGCCCAATGGGATTCTGCCATTTGAGAAGTGGGCTCTGTGTATTTCCTTATGTTGGAAGAGGTCAGAGATGTCAAACGGCTACACCTGGAGGCACATAAAACCAACTAAGCAAATTACAGTCTGATAAATAAAGTAATAAAGAATCTCTGAATCACTTTCCTTTCACTGTACTTACTATTCATCTTCAACAGCTCCTCCCATCTTTCCCTAAAGTTTGGGGGACGTTCATTGCCTTTTCCTCTGGTTCCATCGTTGTGTTCCGAGTGCTCCCCAGATCGAAGGTGTCCAAGCTTAGGTTTAGTACGAATCTCCAGAACAAGCATTTAATAATAACAGTAGAAAATAAACAAGACTTACACCATTATATTAGTACTTCAATATGCATAAGAAAGAAATCTATGCCCTTGACCACCCTGGTCAGCCAAGACTGAATACCCAGTAAAAATAATATGCATAAAGTAGCCATATGTAGCTGTCTACCTACCCCAAACTCACGTAACATTGGGAGACAACCCAAATGATAGTGTTACCACATTATATTGTTATACAGCAACACTAAATGGAGCGGCAGCAAGCCCAAACAATTAATAATACCAAACAAAACTCTCATTACAACATCTAAAAATGAGGGAGGAGGAAACTTACACACTGATGCAGCAAGGAGGCCCCTTGCCCTCAACAGCTGCAGTGAAGAATCCAAACATAATTTGGAAATCCCAGTCAAAACAGCATTTAGAAACCTACTTCACACACCTGCTGGAAAGCAAAAACTCCTGTCATGTCACTACCCACACTGAGAGAGGTTTCGTTTTTTAAACAAGGGAAGAAGGGAAAATCACATGGTACATGGAATTATGGGGGGCAAGCGGTAGTGTAGTTGGTTGAGGGGCGCTATGCTACAAGACGGAAGATCGCAGGTTCAAGTCCCACTGACGTCATTGGATTTTTTCAATTGACCTAATCCTTCCAGCCGCAGTATGGCCCTGGGGTTGACTCAGCCCCTAACAGAAATGAGTATCAGGAATTAATTAAATAATTTTCCTGGGGAGTAAAGCATGGCCAGCGCGTAAGGCTGACAAACATACCGTCATCATTGAGCCAATTGTCTAGAACAGGCATGTCCAAAGCGTCGATAGCGATTGACCGGTCGATCGCGGAACAATTTTTGGTCGATCTAATAGGCCTATAAGGAAATTATACATGAAAAGCATGTAAATTCACTTGTAATATAATACGATTATATTCAAATTTTGAAGGGAAAATACGTGTTAAAGTAGTCTGTACTGTCATGCTTTTACAACAAACATCATGGGTCGTGTTATTTTTAAAAATATTTTTGCTTAAAGTGAGGTATGGCGATAGCAAGGGGTGGTAGATCACTGGCAGTTTTGACAGTAAAAAGTCGATCACAACCTGTTTGAAGTTGGACATGCGTGGTCTAGAAAATGTGGGACCCTCAACGTCTCACAACCCTATGGGCCTTCATGGTCTGTTACAGGGATAGATTTACTTTACTTTTACATCGAATTATGGGATAATGATAAACAAGTAAGGACACATATGCCTGGGGAGGGGGGAAGAAGCCATGGTGAGGTTAGCGACTGAAACAGAGCGACTCCTGAGCCACCAAAATGTAAACATGGCTCAAACTGATGTGACGGCTTCATGAATCTCTGAACTGTTGACAGGGGACACATGCTGATAACCTTGGTGAGCAAGGTGAGGGCAAGGTGAGGAGTTGCCACAGGTCAGTCAGTATAGTGTCTGCTGCATGGGTTGGACAACAGGAGAACTGGGGTTTGATTCCTGGTGGGGCTAGAGATTTTTCTCGTCACGACCACATCCAGGCCATCTCTAAGCACCACCCAGTCTCCTGTCCAATGGTTACCACCAGCTTTTTCCATCTCACACTGAAGTTAAGAATGTGTGGAGTTACACCTCCACTGCCACATGCCTTCATGGGATAGTGTTTAAGCAAAGGGATAACTTTATGTTTTTACCTTCACATGAAAAGTATAAATGCTGATTTATAAATATTTTTCTTCAATTTCACCCTTTGTTTATTCACAAATAATGTGTGACCTTGTGATAGATTTGGACTAAATCTGTATTACAAACCCCTGTTTAGACAAGAAACATTGAGCATGTCCTTTTCTCCTTAAAATATAGTACAAAAATACAATGGAGACCAACATAACTGAAAACAACATTTTTTAAACTAATCACAGTTAAAGCCATGATTATAAACAACACGCATCACACAACAATTCCGTCTTTCTTGTTAGATGTAACAGTAACAACTTTACAGAACATTAACTCATTTCAAATACTTATCCACAATATTCTGAATGAACCAATCTTCATCAAACTGCAAATGATCTCCATACACTGCCAAGAACTTCAGTTTACCAAGTTTGTCCATTTGCTGCAGTCCAAGACGATCCTGCATATATACAAGTTGATTAATTTCTCAGTGAATAACTAAGACCGTGGAACACTGAATGACATGTTAAGGTCAGTGACTGGTACAGGAGTAAATATAGCAAAAAATTATAATATAACTAGATGTAATAAATCAACTGAGAATGTTCCAGAATTAAAGTACCGTATGTGGGAACAACAGTAACACGCAAAAATATGATTCATAATAACATTATGAGAAGATTGCATTCTAGAAATTCTTGTTATTAAATCTGGAAACTATTCCATCTGTTCTCTCTAACATTTCACACTAAGATACAGGTAAAGGTAAAAGCTGGCCAGCCGGCTATTACAACCAGGAAGATTCCTGGTGCTCATTTCTGTTATAGGCTGAGTTGGCTCCAAGGCCATAGTAAGATTTGAAACATTACGTCAATTAAAAAATCCAGTGACCTCATTAGGAATCAAACCCGCAACCTTCCAGCTTGTAGCAGTGCCTCAACAACTACACTACTAGATGCTCCCTGGACTAACATATAAAAAATGCTAATTCTGTCACATGTTTTGCATAGATGTGAAACACAGTCTGTTACTTTAACACACTGCAGACCGGATGGGCCATATGGCCCTCTACGTTTCCAAGCGTTGCGGACGGGGCGGGCCATATGGCCCTCTATGGTCACGTTATGTTGCAAAACACTATATATCTCTGTGTGGCTTTGTTGAATCGTAACTACTGCGTAGATGACCTCGGGAATGATTGCTGCCTTATCTAGTAACTCGACCAGAGTCATTTCCTGTCACAACCTAAACAAATTTGACTTTGTAAGTTCTGAGGTTTTCACAGCGATGACAATGAAGAAAGTCGTCTTCTGGGTTTAGGCACCGTGTATTCTTCGTTTTGGCCGACGTTTCGGAGGAATGTAGCGCCTCCATCTTCAGAGCAGTTGAATGGCTTGGAATGCGGAGAGCAGTGACCTGTGAGAGCTA